AATCACTTTCATTATTTTCTTGCATATATAATTTTCTTTTAGATAAAGGAGCATCGGTTCTCTATCAATAGAATTATAGAACGTTTTTGATTCATTATTTTGCACTGGAAGGTATGAATATTCACGATATAAGACGTATATCAAATTTAAAGTTGTTTGGCTCTAGCTGCAGTGGGCTCATGATATTAATAAATATGTAAATTTTATTTAGTTCATGAGCTCAGTTTCGGTGCTATAATAATGTTGTAAGTGATATTTATTGATGTAAATTTTTTTATAATATGATGTAAAAATCTTTTGTCTCAAGAAATATCATATTCCTAAAAACAAATCATAGAATCTAGAAGATTATCAACGTTTTGCATGGACAATAATTATACATTTATATAATATAAATATTCTATTTAAAATGTTGAAAAAATCTATTTAAAACCTTGAGATTATAGTATTCGCAAAAAAACTGGTAAGTAGATACATATGTAAACTTAAAATTAATTAAAATATAAGTCAAAAGTTGGTTGAACTCCATACAAATTATGGATAATAGAAAATTTTAGACTACACTCAAACCAGTTTTGTTTAATGGTCCATCTCCCTCTTTTAGTGAACGTTGAAGTGTCTCTCTTCACTTGTATTATCAAGATAGATGATACTTAGTTAAATATACCATTTCAATATTTATAGTAATCTACATAGTAAAAATAGATTAGAATCTAAGTTCAAGATAGATGGAGTAATTGATTTATCTTATTTGATTTAGTTTAGCATAGTTTCCTGTATATATATTAAATATTTGAAAGTATTTTGTCTTTTATCTGATAAATATATTATACTGTAGATGGCACATGAACTATTTTTCCGAATTATAGTTACTAGAATCTTATTAACTAATTTTAGAATTCACATGCTGTAACTTGATTGGTTAACAATTTTGGAGAGAAACTTTTAAGTTCAACATTTTGCTCTTTTCACTTCCGTTTTCTTGTGGGTTTATACCCATTGGCAAATTAAAAGTCATTGTTTAATTAAATCACATGATTATTTGATAAATATATGTTACTATACAACTAAAAATAGAGAAATAACAAGTGCCCAATGAACCAAACGTCAGTAGATGTAGATATCATAGTTTATATGCAAAGATTTAGTTTGATCCTTTAATATGGGTATATGTTTGTATTATTTTAATGTTGTGGTGGTTATAAGAATATAAGTTGTAGGATTATGAATCAGTATTAAAAAGTTTGCGGAAATTTGTAGTTCAGCAAGCGAAAATCCGCATCTAAGTTCAAATACAATCCAAATTTTATATGACTAGCGATCGAGTTCACGTTGAACATAGAAGCTAAGATGTGTGATGTCTTTTTTTTTTTTTTTTCTTCGTTCGTTAACACTTCTATGCCGACTTCATGTCCGAGAGACATGTAATAATTATTTTTTGAAATGAGAAAAAAAAAACCACGATGAAACATGAATCTAGTCAAGAAAGACATCACTTATACATCTTCATTGGGGATTTTAGATAAAATGTGAAAAGAATGGAGTCTTTCAAAGTTGCGTCAAGTCACGCATATACATGATACATCAGATACTGGATTTTATGACGTATGCATATGAAACAAATCTTATGAATAAACACATGATTATAATTTAAATTTGACCAAATCTTAAACCTGCTTTGTGAGAACTAATAAGAGACGTGCAAAATAACACTCAGGATTCTAAATAAACATCTTCTTTCCCTTTTGGGCTAACAAAAGGTAAAGATTCCGTGTGGTGCACCGATTTTTTCTTTTGTGTAAGTTGAAGTTAATTTTTTGGAATAAGAATGATATAATCGTAATTAGTTACCTAATTTTGTGTCTTTAACAAGGACATAAACTCCAAGAAAGAAAAGTTTCTTTCAACTAAAAAAAAAAACAAGATAAAAACTCATATAGCTAGGATGTCATTTTCTACATTGTCTAAAATCTACAATGTCCTTTTTGTACTGGCTAACGTTTAGATGACCTATAATATCTACTAGATATATCATATATGTGTGGAAGGACGATTCGAAACCGCATATTTAAGGCCGTTTTGAAAGCTCCAAATTGAATGTAGGCATCGAAAGCAAAAGACGAAGAATGGGATCCATTAATTTATATGGTCAAAGATACAAAAAACGAAAAGAAAGATAATGATCGTCTTCTTCTGATCAAGTTTCCCAATTGCTCTTTTTCTTTTAACTTGTTATGTAATGCTTTCTCTCACATTATTGTCTACTAGCTAATGCTTTTCTCCGAATTATTGTATGCTAATGCTTTGGGCGGTCCTCATTTTAATACATATGGGCATTGTCTTTTCTTTTAATACTTTATTTTCTTTTTTTATCAGAAGTTATATAACAATTAAGATATTTAATATTCTTTTAATACAGAAGTTCCGTCAATATTTTAACGAAGAGTTGCGATAAAAAGACACAACCGAGAAAAAATAACCGTCAACATTTTAACGGAAAGTTGCGATTAAAAGACACAACCGAGAAAAATAACCGTCAATATTTTAACAGAAAGATGCGATAAAAAGACACAAACGAATAAAGTAACAACCAATATTTTAACGGAAAGTTGCAATAAAAAGACACTACCAAAAAATAACCGTCAATATTTTAATGAAGAGTTGCGATAAAAAACACACCCGAAAAAATAACCGTTAATATTTTAACAGAAAGTTACGATAAAGAGACACAACCGTTCAGAAGTGCAAAATGCATTTATTGAGGTTGTTATTTTGGTTAATAAAACCAATTTGATATTTAGTCTAATGGTTGATGTAAAAAAACTTCGTAGTATTACTAACTATACAAAAAATGCAATGAAATTATATAATGGATGGACGTAACTTTAAATGAATAAATGCAACTATAAAGATATAACTGTAAACTGAAAAGATACGACTGTAATTGAACAAATATAACTGTAAATAATTCAACGAAAATTCAAAGAGAAAATTCAATAAAAAAACATAACAGTAAAAAAATAACCAATTTAAACGAAAAGTTGCGATGAAAATACGCAACCGTTCAGATGTGCAAATAGTATTTATTAGATTGCTATTATATATAGATTCTTCGAAATCATTAGAAAAATGTATTGGATTTGCTAGTAGATCTCCGGTTTTTGTTAAGATGCCATTATTGTCCATATAGGAATTTAGAATAAGTTGAGCATGATTGTTTATGGGGGACATGCTTTAGTGTAAGTGTAACTATTATGGTGATAATGCTCTCTAAGTGTGGTCACCAGTGCGATTGTAACGATTATTAGCCTTTACTTTTTAATTAA